TTGATTTTGTTGTTACGACAGTGACCTGCATACTACGTCACCAACTATCTTGTAACGGAGTGTTAGTGATTTTGGTCTTTGTTCTCTATCCTGACTGCAATCTGGTCAGCCGGAAATATACCCTACAGTGTGAGATAGACACAGAAGTTACATATAAGTAAGGCAACTGAGATAACAACAATTTTTCTATTCACAGTACAGAGTCTGGTAACAGTAAAGAACAGATACCACAGCCAAATGGCCTTGAGCAGCCAGTCACATGCTTCAAGGCAATAACTGGTATTTATGACGTAAAAAAGCATGTTTATTTATTATACGTATAACAGAAGTGAATTCATGGATAATCCCCATCCAGGCATTAATGAAAACAAAACACGTAGATCAGCGAAGAGTCTCTTTTCGGCGAATTCATTTTCTTAGCTGTACAATCGCAAATATATATGCATTGTTTTGTATGTATGTGTACATTAAGTTTGTCAAACAAAGTTACAATTGGTTAAGGTTACTTTTAACTAAACAAGTGAAGGTTGGTAATACAGGTCAAGAAAATTAAGTGCTAATGAAACTAGGGTAGTAAAAAAAATGATGAGTTGTCACAAACAGTTGTAATAATAATAGTGAGTTTTACTCAGGATGCACATAGAAACAAAGTAGATAATACGAAACTATGTAAGAGATCTAAGTGGATACAAGAATTATAATTGCTTAAGGTTATTTTAACTAAACAGGTAAAGGTTGGTAATATAAGTCAAGACCATTAAGTGCTAGGGTAGTAACAAAGGTGATGAGTTGTCACAAACAGTTGTTAAAAGAAGTTATGCAATAATAATATGAATAGTTTGATGAGTGAGTTTTACTCAGGATGCACATAGAAACAAAGTAGATAATACGAAACTATGTAAGAGATTTAAGTGAATACAAGAATTATAAGCAATTAAGGAACAGGCAAAGAAACAAAATTAAGTCATCAAAATAAAAATAAAAGCTCAAAACAAATCAAAACATTGTTACCATGAGAGTAGAAGTGGTTGAGTAATCTTCTTTTGTATGCACAGCTCCGGTTTTTCCATGTGAATGGCCAGAGCTTCAGCGATGCAAAGGAGACGAAACCGTATTGCCTTTGATATGTTATTCTTGACTCTGTAGATTACTTTGAAGGAGGCGTTCGTTGAAATGCAATGATCAGTGTTGACCAGGTGTTCAATTATCGCACTCCTTATTGCACCAGTATTGCCTTTTCGCAACCATGCTGGATAATGTTCTTGAATTCTCTTGGACAGGATGCGCGTCGAACGACCGATGTACCTGGCTCCACAGCAGCAGGTGAACTGGTATATGCACATAGAAGTGGCCAGATGCGGGATCTTGTCCTTGAGGCTTCTGCAGATCAGTGGGCGACTGGAGAACACTATTCGTAGCGTTGCTGCAAAGAACGTTCTTCTCAGAGATGATGTGATCCTTCTCTTGAGAATATCGCTTGCTAAATCTCCCTTGAAATCCAAATTCATGTAGATTTTCTTTTTAGGCGCAGTTAAAGTTTCGTTTTTCCGAATTATTGGTTTCATATTTTTGTCGATAAATCTTATTGGGTATCCATTTTGGATGAATATTTCTCTCAGAATATCTAATTCTGTTTCCAGAACGTCGGGACTACAGATGCGTCGGATGCGTGAAGTGAATTGTCATAAGCTGATATCGGTTAGAGAACCATTGGAAAACCTGAGAGTACTGGACAGCTGTTTCGTCCTAGTTTGGAACTCTTCACCAGTACGCACCCAGTGGGGTCCGGACGCAGGACCTTCTGGTTACATGGCGAGCTCGTAGATCATTAAGCCACTGGGACCCGACCCAATGGCTCATGAATTCTAACTTCTGCCAATTCACGACATTGTGCGACCACTTCTCAATGTCTTCTTCAATGAGTAACTGTCCTCACCTTCGACCGGCTGTACCCTACTGGTCACACCGATATCAGTTCATGATGAAATCCTCCATCCAATTAAACAAAATCCCTACAAACTAATATCTGGGAAGTGAATTCTGTCGTCCTGATGTCTCTAATATGCTGCAAAAATAGGTTTCAGTTTTTCATAAACAAACCACAATCTGTATAAGTACCAGTTATAGGATCCACTAATTCTGATGAATAATTGACTTTATGATGAATATAACCCTATGATGATAGTCATATTGCTCAGCATTTCAAATGGGTGCTACCAATAATCACTGTTGTAAGTTTTATCCTAACCCAAATCTTCGTCGCAAGTTTCGCCCTAACCTTAACCACAACCCTGCCTTAATCCTACCCGAAGCTTGACCTTGAATCAGGGTGAAACTTCTAAGATTACGAAAAGCAATCATTTTTAATGCTGAGAGATCTGATAAGTTCGTTTAAGGTCATTCGATTGTGGCATTTATTCTTTACTCTTGCCCAGAGTCGATACCTCGTTTTCACATAATTAGATAATCAATATCGAACTTATCGCATCAATCATGACTTTACGGCTAACAACGGTATGTTGTCCATCTTAACAGATTGACCCTAAATACTTAGACGGGGCAACCTGTAAGAAGCCTGGGATCTACATCTCACGCTTACCTACACTGTATGCAGAGCAATGCTTTTCATAGTGGTAGATACGCGTTGTTTCACAAATGTGGGTATAAAGTTTTCTGCCGACAAAGTGCCCCTACCTTAGTGACCACAATGCAGATTTGACTGGTACACTTCATACAGCCCTAAGAATTATAGAACAGCAGAACGACAAAGGCTGCCACCCTGATGACTTATCAAGCAGCTAAACCGTTTCGAAATAATAATAAGGGGTAATGGAAAAGAACTATCTTTACGAGACAGACTAGTTTTATTATATATACATTAATGAACCTATCTGAAATGTGAATAATGCAGTTACACCTAAAATGAAAATTGAAAAAACCCTGTGTTCACTAGTAAGTATGCATTATAATCAACACGTGCCAATTTATTCACAGTTAGCCTGAAATTACTTGTAAACAGTATAGACTCTGGTAGAAAAAATAATTGAAAAAAGACCCTTTTTTCATACTAGCCAACTTATATTAATTATTCCACTGGATGACGTTTACTGTACATAATTACATTGAGTATTTTTATTTCTCAGAGACACATCTCTATATGCATTTATGTCTGTTATGGAATTGTATATGAAGTAAGATTGACTGAACGAAATGGGCATACACTTACATGCATATATATATATGATAAACTGTCATCATTATTACTTTTTTTTCAAGTGTTGGGCTGTATGGATTCGATTTATTTCACATTCGATTTTGTTATGAATTGAAATCAGTCAGGGGAAGTGTGAACCACGGATCAACTGTCTTATCGTAGTCGAAATATACAGTAATACAGCAGTAGTAGACATTTATAGTTAAGGTGGATGATTTCGATTCAGTTGTGTCCTCTGAGCTGGTTGATCGATTTAATTGTGAGGCTTTCATTGTTCTTCTAGGCAGGCTTTAATATAAAGTGAACTTGTTTAAATTCTTCATGAATGACAGAATTATGTCTCCTGACAACCTCAGTTAGGTTGAGATTCGTTGTATGGGTTATTTATTCTTCTTGAAGACAGTTAGTAGATATTTCTCCTCAATTCTCTTCAGCAATTGAGTGCTTTGGTGTGTCTGGACTCTTTTAAACAATGTCTGCACACAATTTCTTTTGTTTTACCTCGAATTTGCGATAGACCGAAACTACGAAACATTGCCTTATGACTAATTATTTCGCTACCAGGATCACCAACATATAATCTATCTATGTAACTTTTCAATAAATTAAAATATCTAACAGAATCATACGACCATCCTATCATTTCACGAGTCCAATTTTTAGGAAAAAATTCGAAAATATTGAAGTGGTTGACGATTAATTAAGGTAACTAACACAAGAAATTTGTAAAAACAAGTACACAGAAAATCAACACACACACATATCAAGTACTCAACTGCCATAGTAACAACCCAAGACTCACAAAAGTTACTGTGTGCAGACATTGTTTGAAAGAGTCCAGACACACTGTAGCACTCCGGTGCTGAAGAGAAATACCTACCAACTGTCTTCAAGAAGACTAAATAAGGCGTACAAATGAAGTGTAGGAGACATTACATTGTTCAGAGTGGGCCTGCCATTCGAATCAGAATACAAGAACGCAAATTAACTGGGAAACACACGATACGCATTCTTTCGTATCGAAGCATGTAGATAATTACAGACATCAATTTGGTTGGGAGTGTGTGGAAGTTATAAACAGGGAGAAACAAAAATGTCACGATATTTCTACAAACCTGGTACTCAGATGAATCAGCAGTTAACAAGCACACTACTATAGATCAAATTTACCAACTAATAAAAGATAAATCACGTGACAAGAAAGTTCAATAAAAAGGATCCATGAAGATGTAAATTGACAACCAACCACGATAAGGGTTGTCAGGGGATACAATAATATCATCATTCATGGAAACTTCAAACAACCTCACTTTATATTTAAGCCTGCGCTTGTGATGTTTCCGGTTGACCACTAGTGGCTCTTTTTCAACCCGATTCTACGTCAGCTAACATTGCTCGTCCAGGAAGGCGATGACTAAGCATACGTAACATGTGTTCTAACCACCTCAACCGATATAGCTTCACAAGCTTATTGGATTGACTTTCTCTCTTTACCTAACACTTGACGCCTACGTTCAGTGTTACTCACCATATTATAACAGTTAACAAGGGAGTTAGGACACATACATCTATGATGAAAGATGGCTAGTCTTTTCATGTTGTCCACTTTCAATGGCCATATTTCACAACCAGGGGAATGCATTGTATTTCATGACTAATTAAAAGTGTATCTTTAGTGTGATTCATGTATCCTGCTTGTATATAACTGTCTACATATATGCTTATGTATGTGTGCATTATGTGTATAATAATTTTCTCAATGTTTTCGCTTTTTTATGTTTTATAGAATCTACGTGCAGTGATGTACAGTCTACAGACAACACCTCGTCATACTGTTAAACGTATCGCTGGTCGCATTGTACCAGCGATTGCAACGACAACAGCCACTGTTTCAGGATTAGTTTGCTTAGAATTATTAAAGTATATATTAAACACTAATACTGCTACTACTAATAATAATATACAGAGTGATTCGTCTACCCAGTGTGACACAATGCCGATCACCACCTCCTCCAACATCAGAACCACCGCTGAAACAACAACAACAACGACTAAGACATCAGATGACTGTGAAAAATACCTTAATCAGTTACAGGCTAGAAATAGCTTTCTTAATCTAGCCTTACCAATTCTTGTTTTCAGTCAACCAGGAGTATGTCGGTATACGCGTCTACCAAATGGTAGAAGTTTCAGTCTCTGGGATCATTGGTGTATTGATCCATGGAAGTCGGTGGATAACTATTTGTTAAGTGATTTTATTGAGCAAATTAAGGTGAGTAGTGTTTTAATTTAGTAGTAATAATAATAATTTTAAAAAATATCGTCAGTATTTAACGGCTGAAGATGAACTTCGTCCCGAACTTGACCCAAGATGAACTGAAGGCCAGTCAGTTAAACCCTTAAGAACCTAACAGTTTATCACTAATAAGTGACTATGGAAATACGGCTAATTACCTTTCACTCTCATATGAGTCACGAGTTTGATCTCCCTACCCGCTTACTTCAATCTAAACAGGTGAATAGTATTCTCTGTCCACTCATTACATTATTGTGGTTCATAGTTAGGTACACTAAGAACATCCATTCTGGTTAATAGAATTTTGTCTAATATTAATAGTGTGATTTCTTTTAGTGTGAAGACAGATAATATGCTCACCAATGACATTGGGAATCTACAGAAGTCGGATATTATGATTCACAGTGATTGGCTGACATAACCACCATATAATTGATACATATTAACAAGATTACTGTATTTCTTCAGTTTTTTGTCGTTTCTGCCTCATTGTTCTGACTTTTTTCTTACTCAGTGAGTTATTATCGATGTGTTGGTGGTTCAATGGTAGGATGAGTTTTCGCCAACCATACATATGGTCTGGATTCCGACTGACTCATTCCTTTTAAGCCTCGCCTTGCTTACCAACCAGTAGGGTAGTAATTCTGGAGAAAGGGTGGAGGTTGAGCGTGAGACTAGCAACCTCACCCTGTGAAAATAACAACGCCAGCACGGCTACTGAGACTTCAAAGTTCTAAGTCATATGTCCCTCTGAAAACACAAAGGAATGGAAAATAAAGGCAGAATACTTCTTCAGTGAATGAAATTCACTCAACTCAGCCAAATACCTATGGCTTTTTAGTTTGCTTATTGTACAGGGAGTTATTATTTTATGTATTCTTTGCTGTTTCTCTAACACTACTCCTGAATTACCTTGACAATCAATCGATTATTGTTATAATAAGATCATGTGAATAAAGTCAACTGAAAATAATGAAAGAGAGAGAGAGAGAGAAAAGTAGTCGATCGATAAACAATTTTATTTTTGAGTGACTGACTGCAAAGAACTACGATGAGTCAATAATTTTGTTACACTTTGGCTAACTGTTTTGTTTAATGCCAAGAGACGTCTGATTATGTTTGACGTCTTATTTTGTAAAATATTTATTAATACTGAGACCATCTCTGGATCGGATCGGTTGACTACCATCTATTGATACAACTCAAGGATTCTAATCAGCAGGCTTTCAATATACAAATATCGTTCTATTTTGGACCTGTCAGGTGTAATAGACTTATTCTCACTTCAGTTGGTATTAATCATTCCACTGAGATTGGAGCTCAGTAGTTTTTTTTAGTTCCAAGCACCAGAAAGTGTTCTTTCTAAGGGGACATACGATCAAGTAACAATCAACGGAAGTTAGCGTACGCTGTTATAAGGTTGCATTGGTAGTGATGGTACTATGTTGCATAGATGAAGCTGTGTCAACTATGACAGTGGTAAAACAATAGGAATTTAGATCGACCGTACATATTCCATTATCCGTATTGTGAATGAATGAATGAATGAATGAATAAAAAAGAATATGGGAAAGGTTTGTTCAACATTAAATCGATAATCGATTAACTGATGTTTGTCTTTTTTTTCAGTCACTTTCAAGATATTTTGATAAGTAGATTGTATTTGTTTTGCTTTGGTTACACACGAACGAACACACATGCGCATACACGCAACAAAATTATAAATGATTGTGTTTGTTGCATCTTCACTTCTGTTTTCCTCCCTCTCTCTCTCTCTCTTCACTGCTCCTTTCTGTTTTATAGTTTTTATCGTTTTTGTCTGAAAACAGGACAATGTGATGATGGTGATAGTAATAATAATAATAAAAGTTATGAAGAAATTGTATAGAACACATGAAAGCAGAAGAAATGTATATGCCTAGTGGGAGTAGATAATTGAATACAATAACTCTGTTCACATTTGTTTTCCTTCCATTTGATTTGTTTTAATAACTGATGATATTCTCAAACTATTGTATATCATATCACGAATCAGAATCAGTTTCGTCCTAGTTTTTGAGCCAGAATTCTAGTAGTATGGGCTGATTAACCTCTCTGATCTGGGTGTAAACCACTGTCACACCGGTGATCAACTCAGTCCGTAGCAAGCGCAACAGCCGTCCGTCTAGTGTTTCGGCGCACTTATGTCTAGCTAGCTCCTCCATGATTATCCATAGCCTGCCATCTCCTCTTTACATAATCTCCTTCGTGTGTCAACCATAGACGCCCAACTCATCCCTGTTCATTTAGGTTTCACTCAACAGCCTGTCTGACATGTCATGTCATTTGTTTTCTAGCTCTCCTTCGTGTGCGTCTCGTCCATCTGTTATATTTCTTTCTGAATGGTATTCTGTAATACTTATTGTTTTTTAGGCAAAATTTGTATTCCTACGTTAGTGTTTTTATGCTGTCATTGCCATCTTTAAATCGTATTAAATATTTTTATCGTTATTTAGAAAAACTCTATCTACTAAACATCATCAGCATAGAGAATATTTTGTAATTTTTGAAATGTTCCATAACTTATGGGCTAAAATTACTTTTCAATTAGATTTAAATTATGTTTAATTGACGCCCACGTAATCATATGCATACACATATACACAAAATAAATGTCTGTCTTATGCATTCAATGATTTATTTCTTAATAAACTTTAAATGTGACTATGCGTGTGCATATGTGTGTGTGTACAACTTACTTTACTTTACTTCGGCTATCTCCTACGGGAGGATGAGCCGGCTTCATGAACGTCTCGAATCATCGCTGCCCAGGCGCGGCAATTTGTAAGAGAGTTCATGAAGTTTCATGGGAATTTGGTACGAGTGATGTCCCCAGAATCGCTCGGCCTTTTGTTTGAGAGTGCAGCTCTAGCCTTTACACAGCCAAGTGTGACCTACAAGGCAGTAGGAGTGGAGTAAGGAGTCCACTATCCATTGGCAGCCGGTGACCGGAGTTCGGTTCATACGCCTTTTTGAATGGGGCCAGACATCCAGGACATCCAACAAGCCCTTTGTCCATACGTCTGCCGGTGAGCTCCAGTGAGCTTCATACGCCAGTCGTTGGAGGTTTGGAATCAGGGTTTAGCCATCTCCCCTAGACCGTCATCCAATGGACAGTCAACCCGGTGGAGAGCGCCGGGCATCCGCTTTCGCCCTCTCACTTTGGTGAGAAACACCTCCGCCACGTGAAGGCAGTGAGTAGGACTTCCTCAGGAGAGGCTATGTAAGACGCCCGGTCATATGGGAGCATTTCAAGAGGTGTGCGGAGGGGTGGCCAACCCGCAGCGCAAGGCACCCACCCCCGACCATCCTGAGGCTTTGGAGGCTGACGTAATATTTCATAATGTTCCGACTATCTTTAAATGCGTTTTTTTCCTCAATGCATTTAGGACATTACAATTTATGTTCGCGGTCCACACTGAAGTAGGCATTGACAAGTAGTTCGTTTTTATTTGAAACAACGCATACACATACATACACACACAGAGATGAAGTAGATTAGAAACAAAAAATATTAGCTCAACTTCAATTTAGACTTTGTCATCTGATGAAAACAGTTGGCGAAACATTGCAAAATTAAGGAGCATTGAATGACTGTTTCATCTTAGCTTGTGACTCTTCAATGGTTGCCACGCACAACTTCAACTAGTCTCGTACCTAGCAGCTTCAGGCTACTAGGCGATCATGTTACCGAACGCTCCACTGGATTGAAATCAAATTTTATAGTGTTGCTATCCAGGGATTTCATTGGCTACAGATTTGATCACTGTCGGAAAACCTTGGAGTACTGGACAGTTGTTTCATCTCAGTACGCTTCGAACCTAAGACTTTGGACCATTTGATTGAGTTCCAGTGACTGAATGGTCTACGAGCTGACCTTTTAACTGGGATGATCCTGAGTTCGAACCCTGGTAGGTGCTTACTGTTATAAAGTCCTAAACAAGGACGATACAACTATCCAGTACTCTCTGCTTGTTTTCAATGGTTTGCTGACTGATATGTCAACTCGTCATCGAACCCGAAATCAAATTATCTATGAATTCTGTACCTTGGTTTTCAACAGGTTCTCTGACTGTTGTCTAAATCTAAGGGCATCGAGTGCCTACAATCCAAAAACTTACTATTAATCTTCTGCTCATGACTGACTGGCTTCATACTGCATGTCCTGGAAATTCTCAATGAGAAATCCTAATTGACAGAATCTTACTGGGCTCACCGATGAAATTTATTTGGCATTAGTGCTATATCGTGAATTTACAGAAGTTACAATGCATTGGAGTATGAATGGATAAACTTGATCGAATTTTTCCAAACTTTAACCCGATGTCTTCTGTAGTCATAACTCCTAAATGATAGACAGGACAAAACAGATGACCAGTGAGAAAATGCCCCTCTAATTAATCTCGATTCGTGACAAAATTAATCATATCCCCACGATTTTAATAAAATCTAAATATTACTTGTTGTTAATCATCTCGAAAGTTGAATTGAAATTGTGGTAATGAGGAAGGTCTTATCGAACATCCATTCAGCTTAGAAGAAATCAAACGTAATTGATAGTCACCACTTGAGTTTCAACTTTTCTTCAGCATTTCACTGTCTGTGCACTCGGTGTTTCAGTGGTAAAATGCTCCCCATAGTTCGGGGTTCTATTCTATCCTCGCCGATGCACTGCTGTTAAAGCCTCACATAGTCTACTCACCGATAGTAAACCTCTTGAACGGAGGTTGGTGGGTGGGGGCAATCAATCATACTCCGTGAAACAAACCACTACTAAAACTTTACAGCTTGAAGCCCACTATCTTCCACTCGGAACCCAAAGCAATATAATAAATAATAGGCATTCCAAAATTTAAAACCTTTAGATGATTTTTGTTGTTGTTGTTGTTGTTGCTACTTTAAGCAAAAAAAGCGAGAAGAAACTCAACAAATTCGATTATTTATTATTTCCTTATCTGTTTAACAAATTTTTTACTTAAGTTTTTGGTTGTCATAGTGACAGATTGATGAGATGCCTTATGTGTGTATATATTTTGTTTACTTATTTGTTTGCATGCTTGCTTACTTGCTTATATATGCCTGTTCATCTCTTAGTTTGTGTATAGCCTAACCCACAATCCACTCAGTGATATTTGTAACAATAAGAAGGACGACAATAGCAGTTGTAGTAGTAGTAGTACTAACAATGACAATATAGGTGTCCAATATATATATATATATATATATATATATATATATATATATATATATAATATGCTGGTTGATCTTAGTTACAAGAAACTTATTGCTGCAAAATTATTTAAAAAACTTATTCTACAGCATAAAATTTCAAGTGATGAACAAATAGTTACCACTTTATCGTTGTTCTTGTTGCCACCCTTGAAATTATCATGCTGATTCTGTCAGATGCAAGTGTCCTCCGTCTATCTCTTTTTGCTCTACTCTACTCTTCTGAATTCTGCGTTACTCTCCATTTTTGTGATAATTCTTATTGTTCTCATTGTCTTCGTCTTAATTGTAATGATGATGAAAATGATAGTGAGGTGGATGAAACGATTACCAGGGGGAATCACAGTTACACATCAACATTCTGGATGTCGATAGTTCGAATCTAACTTTCCACCGTCTAACCACCCGTTGTGATTCATCATGAACAACATTACGTGTGTTTGTGAGCTGGTGTACGTTTCCTTCATTTAAATACACATTAAATGTTTGTATATACTGTGTAGAATGTAGAATAATTCCGTTTACTGATGATTACCATTATTGAAAATGATCTTTTTGGAAGATAATTCCAATGAAGAAAAAAACAACAGCAACTGTTCACTTCCTGTAACTATTCCCCAACTTTATTCAGTATTCTTCAATGTAAATGAGCTGAACAAATAAATATAAAATAATATTTTAATTCAGTAACAATTTATACGTGTGCAAAAAAAAAGGGAGGGGCGGCTGTAAACTTCACCATGAAGCAATGTCATCTAGAAAAATCAGTGGACACTGAGTGGACAGATGTATCATTTTCTTGTTTGCGCCTCTTAAATAGGTTCGTTAGCATTACTTCTCCGCAGTGGGGGAGGGGGGCGGGGGAATGGGTAGAATCTAAAACTAATCAGCCCACTGGTGGATTGTGGAGGGAATCAAGCACTCTGGTATCGAGTGTCATGACAAGTATTCACGGATAACATTGGAGAGTGTTAGAGTTATATTGCGAATAAAAAAGAAAGAAGGTGAAATTCACGGTTCCATTGGGTTGTTCTGTCTAAGTGGCTTGAAATAGTTAGAGCTGGCGCTTGTGATTGTTCATCATTGAAGAGTCCTACACTAGAACGAGTCAGCAGTTCGTTTCACCTTTCGTAAAGGAATCAACCAGATTCTGAAGAATCAAAATTTCTTGTTTTTAAAACAAGCAAACAAACGTGTAACTGTTTCTGTTGGTAACTCCGATCAGATGTATTTATTGATTGTTTTTGTTTTATTATCTTATATTGTCAGTTTGAATAACCCTAAAAAGAAAAGAGAAAAACAAAATAAACAAATTATAAAATAGAAATGCAAGACAAAATTACTCGAAATTAGCGACTGATGTAAGGGAATAGAACTTGTGCACTGTGGAGAAAAATCTATATTTTGATAAAGTCGCACAGTATTATACAGTGATATTTACTGATGACGACGTTTCGAGCACGATTTACCAATACTCATAATCAAATCAACTTACTCACACAACTTTGCAGCTTCGTTTGTATGAAATAGAATACATGGAACTATATAGACGAAGTTGTAAAGTTGTGTGAGTAAACTGATATGATTATGGACAGTGATAAATTGTGCTTGAAACGTCGTCATCAGTAAATACCGCTGTATAATACTGTGAGACTTTACTAGAATAAATTTTCTCCATAATGGATAGAAACTGGTTGGAAAACGAAAAAATACGATTAATTATTTTAGATTTTTTGCGATACATATAGTTCGTAAAACTGTATATTATTTTTATTATTATCCGGTTGAACGATCTGGTTGTAATCAAATAGTTCATGAATTCCAACTTCTGATTATAATTTCTATGTAGATGTTTTAATGGAAAAGATAATATTTCATTACTTTCCTATTCATTCATTTGAATGTGTCATATAACATTCTTTTGTCTACTTAACACTATTCTGTTGTTTATTATGCATATAGTATTCTATGACCAGTTTATACTTGTGTATTGTTCTTCGTGTTTCGCTCTTTCTTATCTCCACCACCTTTTGTGATGCGCACGTATTAGATGTTGTGTCTGTACGCGTCTGTGTGTGTGTGTGTGTGTGTGTGTGGAGGAGAGGGGGGATAGTCTACTTAATGTTGGTCAGTACTTGTGATAATTTAATTTAGGTCAGTTAACAAGCAAGGGCATAAAAGACAATGTACTTTTTTTTCCTCTTCTTCAGAATATGGATAGTAGACTTCTGCATTTTGACCTTAATCTCAGTCAAGTTTTTATTTTTCTTTCATATTATTATTATTATTGATACTGAAATGATGTATATGATACATATTGTTAAGAGAAACATTCAAAATCTCGTATAGATTACTCAAAGGCTATCTTAAAATATACAATACACTACAGTTACTTGGAAATGCTCTGATATGAGTTAATTCATGCGTATCTTATCGAAGTGAGTGCATTTTCAAGCGTTGTATTCTAATCTGTAGAACACAGTAGTGTTGTATGACATTAGAGTACACATAGTGGTGGGAACTAAGCTGACATGTTTGAGTTGGAGAAGATTTTCAGATGGTAAAATCAAAACATTCATTGTACGAATTCATAAAGTTTTTGATTTTTATATTCTTGACCAGGCATGTAGGGAGGTGCAAGTTGCTTGGTTGGGATCTCCAAGACACTAAGAATCAGTGCTTTGAGACTTTTGGTGATGTGGCTCAAATTCCGTTTCGTTGGCTGATATATATTCACTCATTGTGATCTCCCAAATGCGTTAAATTCCTCCATTTATTTATCCTCTCTCTCTCTCTCTCTTTCTCACATACATTTCCCTTTATAGTAGTTCTTTTGCATTTCTTTCTTGAATCGGTGCACTTTGGTACAAAGTTCTAAGTTGAAAATTCACTTGGTTTTATAACTAGATTGTTGGTATGATTTGGTTAATATGGATTACATCATAATGACCATATCCAATATAGTTTGATTAGAAGAGATGATTTCTTATGTGGATAACTCCTTTTAGTACATAGTACTTATAGTGGCGAGAAGTTTGAATCTCTTAGATTTGAAGTTTCAATAGAATCGGGTTTTTTATTTTCACGAGATTGGATTTCTAACCTCACGCTCTAAAGCTTCTAACACCTCGAATTTGAATGTAAAATATACTGCGATGACATTTCTTTCAGCCTTGTGACAACATTTCAGACTTGACTGATAGGATTCAGTCAGCTCTAAGAATTATGCAACACAACATTTGTTTTTGGTCAGTGGTCAGATAATGTATCTGAGGTGTTCTGGGAACTTCTTTTCCCTCTGAAATAGTCTTTCAGGAGAGTACTTGTGACCTTCCATGCATTTAAGTCTTTCTATTGCTTCAATCCTGATCACGGCTTTATATCAGTTAAGAAACCATTGAACACCAGTAGGGAGTACTGGACAGCTGTTTCGTCCCCCCTAGTTTGGGACTTTTCTCTGCAATCCGCACTCACCACCCGGGTTCGAATCCAGAGCCCTCGGGTTTTAACTCGAGCTCATAGACCATTCAACCACTGTGATGCAACTTAGTAGCCAACCCATGAATTCTAATTTTTACCAATTCGTGATTTTAGAGTAACTGGCACTAGCCAGTGTCGTTCGTAGCGAGAATTTGTCCTTAATGCCGTTTGGGTGGACTTCAGCGGTCACTTCTGCTTACTATAACTCCAGGCGATTTTGTTTAGTAGCCAGTTACTGCGTTTTTCATCGTTCCTTAACTGCTATCAATGTGTGATCAAGCTTGAAACACATCAAATTCCTGCAAACTGACTCTTGAAAGCTTTCTATTGTTGCTGTTGTTGTTGATTTTTAATGTGCATGATGTGTTAGTGTTTTATTAGCAAAAGCTACTCATTGCACAAGTGAATGACTGAAACGATATTCCTAGAAGATAAGAAAGAAGTCCAATCTGTACAATAATAAATCAACTTTATGTACAAATGAGAATTCAACCAATCTGTAAACTGAGTTTTAAACAGGACTACAAATTTGTGCTGTCTTGTTTTCTACTGTCGTTACAGTCTCACTGAGACGGAGAGTTTATTGCTAAATGGTTCCCTTAGAAGTACTTTTCTGATCATATATTTATACATCACAATACCTTCATATTAAGATGAATCACGCAATTCACATAAACAAACAAAAGATAATTGAAATAAAGACCGATAGATGATATGCGTGACATCCTTGTTCGTTGCTATTGGTAACCGCGTAACATTATCACCATTGTTGTTTGTTATTGTTTTCGGTTTAGCAACAGAACTCCTTTCTCTTTCTTACAAGAAAAAGGATGGCTGAAATTAGAAAAAACTACAATTACAAACAAGACAAAATAATAAAGGAAACAAGAATGTTTCGATCAAAATTTATATTCATCCCTTCTGTTCCAGGTGACCTCAATGTATATGGTGTGTTTTCCTCTGTTATTCCTCTATTTTTGTTTTCCTTTTCCTTTTTGTCTTACAACATTACTCTGAGGTGAGCATACAGAGCGGGGGTGGGGTGGGGGAAGCGGTCGCAGTGTTTAAACATTGCACTCATACTCTCCCTTTTCTTCTTCTTTTCTACTCGTTTTATTTTGTCCTGTCAGTAGACCCCACCTGTGACCTAACAGTGTTAGCTTAGCAACGAGCATCACCCATAACAACAACGTGATTATTGTCTTAACTTCATGACCTACTACTATTACTTCCCTATTCTGTCTGCATTTTGTCTAATGACTAGTCTGTTTGACTATTTAGTTAGTTATTTAGTTGGCTGGGATTTTTTAGGCGAATTTATTTCAAGCATGTATTGCATACAACATATGATGGATGAATGATACTACTGACCTCTATCGTTAATATAATGTAGAGGCATAAATTACATTGTTTTTCATAGTGTCATGCATGTATTATGTACATCTGAAGAATAATACACTTTGTGTTACATTCATTAGTTCCACACATATACCTGTATGCATGTGTATGTGTGTTATATACCTCTAGTTTTGTTATTATCTACCCTTAATTCCGTGTTAATATGAAGATCTAATATTAAGCATATCAATTGATCTTGTCTTTTTCAAATTATTATTATTATTGTCCCCTATGGTTCCGAGCGGAAAATAGGGCTTCAACAGCAAATCTTTACTCTGTCCTATTCTCTGCGGTCCTCTTTAGCTGGCTCCACTACAGCCCATAGTCTCTCATCTCCTCCCCTCGCTGTCGCCTCCATGTCACCCGCGGAAACATGCTTAACTTGTCGATTTCCATTCAAGTTACACATGAGCTATGGCCTGACACGTGATATCACTCGTCAATCTCCTTAGTGTATGTCCAATTTATGTCCATTTTCTTCTGCAGTTTTGTTAACCAATAGGTTTTTGGTATGTTCCTAAAGTTTCTTGATATTAATTCTTTCTGACCGTCCATTTGATCTTCAATATGGAGCCAGCGAAGATAACTGTTGATAAGTGTCTTCAGCCGGCTGTTGGAAATGCTTTTTGTGACGCGTTAGCCATGTTTCTGACCTATACAGAAGCAGTAACTGGTTGACGTAGTTGGGCAGCTAGTTTAATGGTAGAAAGACAGTAACATATCACTCATCCATTTGATGGGTCGCAAATGTGGCGAAATGCTCCTGCTGGTTTCCACTACTTAGTCTCCATCAGCTAGGTAGTATCAGTTGCCTCAATTTACAAACCAGCAAATAATGACTCAGGTGTTAGTTCTCTTAGTTTATCAATTGAAACATACTTGTAGACTAATATTTCATTCTATTTCCTTTTATTCGAGTCTGAATGTGGCTTCTGACTTCTTCCTGTGTATAAACCATTTAGACTGTTGTACCACATATCTTCTTACTGCTAACTTACTAGTTACTTCATAACTTTATGAAATCTTTTTATACTGTTCATTAAATTCGTTATAATTACTAGGATAATCGTCATAACATTGACTATACTGTTAAATATCCTATCATAATAATACGCTGAGGTATTGTTATGTATTGCAATACGCTGAGACTGAAATAGGAACGCCGTGTTAGACACAGACGTGCTGATCACGAATACTGCTTGACCACACTAACAACATTATACGACAGCCCACACTACTTAAACGAAAACAACACCGTGAGCCGAAAAATACATCTCATGCAGTAATAATGTATGATTCAAAATATCACCAAGGATATGTCAATTTGTGTGTTATTATGATCAATATAATGATGAGCGTTATTATACGGAGACCAATTCTGATTAGTTGATTTTCAAACTGGACATCGATCATTATATTACCAATAAGAGATAATGCATTTTTGATCTGTCTATGTATTAGGTATTTAAGGAGGCAGATTCGTCACACAATACTGGTAGATGATAGCTGTACAAGAATGTCTGTGACTATGTGGTTTCACAACTGTGACGCAAATCTTATATTGGAATCCCAAGTAAACTTTGGCACCTGCTATTCCCTCGCCTTAAAAATAAATGATATTAATAATATTACATACTGACAGGAGTTGATGTATAGGAAGCCTTTAATCATGGCCCCATAGATTTATCCTGAAAGTAATTTGGAAACTAAATCAACACTACGGTGCGCAGTGCCCAAGTCTTCATCAACCTCATTCAATAGTTGGATATATGACAATACCACATGTCAGGTGATACACAACGAAGTGCATACAGGAGTAGGACAGGGCTGCCTACTATCTCTCACGATGATACTCCTGATTGTAGTGGACTGGATTATACGCCAAAATGTTAGTGGAGAGTGGGAAGACAGGAATACGTTGGACCGATAAGAAGACTCTAGAAGATCTGAATTTCGTAGATGATATATGTCCAATGTCACACACACTCGAAGATTTACTGGTGGAAGCCAAAAAAAAAAACTGCCAGAAGAAGCAGGCAGGCATCGGCGAAAAGACTCCAGGTAAACAAATAGAAGATGGAGGTGATGAAAATAACCAACGAACAGCAAAAACAACAAGCAGGAGCATTCACAATCAACGGGAGAGATTTGGCAGAGATCACTTCCTTCACTTATCTGGGGAGCACGGTTCCCATCTCAGGCAGTCGGAACGGATAAAGATTTCAAAGCCAGGAGGATTCGGAAGGGTAAGATACGCCTTCATCAACCTGAAACCAGTTTGGAAATCTTCTACATTCAGACAACATGAGAGACAAGATTCAGATTTTCAACAAAAATGTGAAGTCAGTCACTCAATTCTTCTACATGGGTCAAAAACTTGCACTGTGTCAGTCATGAAAATGATTTCCAACAAGTTACTGTAGATTTTTATCAACAGCTGAACACTTCGCTGGCTCTATACTGAAGATTGAATGGCTGGCAATAAACCAACCAAGAGCCGATTACTCAACAAATCTACAGGAGAAAATGGAGATGGATAAGGCACACATTGAGGAGGACATCAAATGACATCGCGTACAATGCAGGCCATCAATCGAGTGGAATCCCAATGGGAAACGATGAATGGGTCGTCCTAGGGTGACATGGAGAAGATTGTGTGGCGAGGGGGAGGTGGGAGATTATGGGCAATCATGGGCTCAGCTGAAAATGGTGATAGAAAATAGAACAAAGTTCAGATGTGTTGTTCTACTCGGAACCCAAGGGAATAACAATAGTAATTATAATTAATGTTCTATTCCAATAAGTGAATTTATGACTAGGCTGTCTAGATTACACCTGACACAGTGTCGTAGAGACAACCTATGCTTATGAATATCTGTCTATCTATCTGTCTATCTATCTATCTATCTATCTATCCACAAACACACTGTAACATCCTCAATTAAATTAGAGCTAACGAGGAAGTGTGTATGTGTGTGTGTGTTATGTCACACTTAAATCAGTGATCATATTTCTCAGCTGACCAGCAGATCTTGATCGACACATTTAGGTGTAGTGACTTGGTTACATTTGATCACTATTTCTTCCTGACTAATGAAAATGTACTTTAGATAGTAAAAATTGTTAAGAGTAAATTTATTCCTTACTTATCTTATTACTCTGATTAATGATTAGGAAAAAAAACAACTCAGTTCTCTTCTTTTCAGCTGTTCCAACAGAAAAAGGAATCATCTAATGGTTTCACAGGCTACTCACTCATTCATCGTCTGCACGGTTTTGTTCTACCAAACAGGAAAACAATGCAGTCACTGTTGAAATTAACAAAGATGTAATAGAGACACTACTACTACTACTACTACTAACCAATAGGATATCATTTATGTTTCACTATGGGTGAAGTGTGATCATTCGCGTTAGATGACGATGATTGTGTTGATCTTTTTTCTAGTTGTTGCCTCGTACGTTTTCTTTGCCCACGTCTCTCTCCGACACACACACACACACACACACACACGCACACATGCCTATACACTCTGACTATCACTCACTTCACATCTCTCCTACCACCATTTTCTCATCGTCTTCTTCCTATGCGTATCATTTTGTTTTTGTTTGGTTGTTTTTTTTTTATTTGGTATCTCACCAAAATGATATCAGTGTGATTCGCGTGTATACTGATCAGTCTCTCTTATATATATAACATTATATTGAATGTTTTCTTTGTATGCTTTTCTATTTTTTTTCTTTATGCATTGAAATCTCTTCTTGGTGTTAAAAAACTATGATAATAATACTACAACTCCTGTCCTCTGCAAACACTGTCACACCATACAATACAATACAACGAACCAGTGTGAATACAATCTTGTGGTCAGTCTGATCACTCAAGGCAACAGAATGATTTATATGAATTACTTTCCAATGCATAAGTCACGTTTAAATAAAGTGTAAGTTTAACGAAAAGTGCTAGGGTGAGGGAGAGAGAGAGAGACAATAAGTAAGAATTTATAGAATCCAGTATAAATGAATACTTCATTATATTCGTTTGTTTAATTATTTTTAAACAGCAGAAGGCAAGACACGGAAGCCAAGGTAAATTTTTTTATTAGTCAAACGGCTTTACATATAATATATATATCTACAGTTTATATTCGTTAAGCTATCACTGAGCGTGTGATTTCGGTTTACGTCAAACGATATGAAATAGAATGTTCACATATACATAGCGTATTCTGTTGCCAATGCTGTATTGAACTGTGGGAATAACATTCCGACTCTAACATCAAATGGAATGTTCAAATAGATATATTGTATTCTATTGCTAATGCCGATTGAACTGTGAGAATATGTGAGAATAATATTCCGTTGGCACACATTGTCTGTACCACACCACCACAATTGATCTATTCTCATATTTTTGCAATATTTCTTTAATTGAATGATCTATTGTTTGTTTGTATGTGTGTGGGGCTTGTTCCGCCCTCTTTGTTTCCGTAGTAGACTATTTGTCTCATAATAATTGCGTGAATATATTACGATGTGGCGTGACCACTAGTCAGGGTCATCCGTAGCGAGTATTTGTCCTCGCACCCGATCTGCCGTGCTCCATTGGTCATGACTTCTCACTAGAACCCAGGTAACTACTTACTTGAATAGAGCCAATCGCTAGTATGCATCAGATTGATATTCAAGTGTTGGTTTGCATGGATTTGATTGGCTACAGGATTTCATCATGAGCTGACATGTGTTGTAGAATCACTGCAAAGCAAAGATGGAGTACTGGACAACTATTTCATCCTACTTTGGCAGGAGCTGGAATTCAGGGGCCATTGGATCGGATCCCAGTACTGGCTTAACGATCTACGAGCTCGCCTTCTGACTGGAAGTTTCTGGGTAAGGACCCCCTGTAGTGCGTGAGCACTGTGAAGAGTCCCAATAAAGATTGGTTCATTAATTCGTTCCAGTTGCTGTGATGAATTTTTTTCACAAGCCAGAATCACATTTAGTGCACCACTGGAAATGATGGGACACCAGATGCTTGTTTCGTTCTAGTCTGTAACTTTTTAGCAATATGCACTCATGATCCCAAGCAGGGATCGAACCCCATGGCACTTAACTAATCAGTTGAATGTATCAGAATCATAACGGTCTTGAATACTAACTTCTGTCATTTTGGTAACATAGTGTTATGAAACGGCTGAATGCCTTCAAGCTAGGAGCAGACAGCTGTACAGTGTCATTTGCCCCCGTTGTGTTCATTTCGAAACCCGATCCAATCCTAACCCCTACTCTCCCTACAATGTTCTCCCTTCATTTTCTGTAAAAATGCCTATCAGTTTGGTTCAGATCCATTCCGAAAAAATGCTTGCAAGAGTACAGATTACTGTTTAAATTTATTGACTGGATAATAAAACAAAATATAAAATGTAGACTAAATATTCTGATATATTCTATTGAATGCCTCATTCAGTAGGCCATTGATTTAAAACGGCCGCCAAAATTGATACAATTTAAACTATGAGAAAAAAATTAACGTGTGATATGAATAAATATTCACATAGATTATTAGTAAAGAGACAGAACTTTTTGTAATTATTTTATTTTTTTAACAAAGTTAGAAAGTTGAAAATATTATCTATATAATATTATTATTTTAAAAAATGTCAAATGGTATCATAAGTTAGTGACACTCGAGAAAAGCTTCGATATGTGATTGTTTATGTCAAAACATAGAAAATGGTAAATCGTTAAAAAATAATTAATCTGATAGTCGTCTTAATTGGTGAATAATGTTTATGAATGATTATTTGAAGGTTAACTGGCCCGCAAACAGATACATTACTTACAAACAGTAAAGCATCTTTTTCTAAATTATCACTAGTCGTACAGGAGGTCTGGATTAGATTCCTGGTTTTGTTAGCCGATAGCAGACCCAGAAAAGGTAGGAGGTTGGACGTAAGCACATAACAGCCGCATCCCGTAAAAACCAAATAACATCAACACCTCTATTGAAAATTTTAAAGCTTGAACCCCTATCTTCTCTATTGGGACTGCAAGGATTGGAAATAGCTTAGGCTTAAGGCCATTGTAGTAATAAGGGTTATTTAGAAAACTGTTCTGTCCACAGAGTATAGTGGTAAGGACCTCGGAGATGTGTGTTGGATAAGGTGTGATCTAGAAGAACAGTGTACTCAAGAGTTAGGGGATTGCTCGACTAACTGTGTATTTCCTTCGATAACCAGTAAATATGCGAAAAAGACCTCTTGTGAATTGTGTGTACGTGTGTGTATGTTTATAGATTTTTGTTTCCGACGTTTCTACGAGAGCTGATTCACAACTCCTTAATTAAATGTGAATCAGTTAACTCATTCTGTCAGCTTACCTCCCGTGTTTAAATCAGGATTCACAATAAATCAGTCCTGTAGCATTATCTCACAAGTTAACGCATTCTGAGCATATTCAGATTTAAATAAAACAATGACAAAGTGGATCTATTTTATTTCGTCAATATCTTGTCAACTATATACAAACTGAATAATGAAAGTTTTTTTAACAGGGGGTGAATATATGTTATCGCCAAAACATATTTACCACTGTTATGTATTTGCCTGCGTGTGAATGAACAGAACGGAGGCGATCAATTACAATTTGAATTACCTCGGCTACTTGATCTTATGTGATTTTGCATTTTATATGCTTAGAGATATACTCTAATCATATTAGATGTTACATTTAGCTCTTCTAAAGGAGATTAATGAACTATGTTTTACACAGCTGGAATATTTGTTCTGTAGTTCGTTATAGTATGCGCGGAAACATTATCTCCAGTCAGTTTGTAGTTTTACTACGTTTTAAACAAACATATTTTCATTATTAGTTTTGTAGGGATTTTTTTTATATTGGTTGGAGGATTTCATCATGAGGTGACATCAGTTAAAGAACCACTGGAAAACCTGGGATTACTGGACAGCTGTTTCGTCCTAGTTTGGGATTCCCCATCAGTACGCACCCACCGCCAGGGTTCAAACTCAGGACCTCCTGGTTACAAGACCAGCTAGCTCGTAGACGATTAAACTAGTGGGACTTCTGCCGATTCACGACACAGGGCAACCATTAGCCATTGTCATCGGCGGCGAGTATCTGTCTTCACGCTAGACCTGCTGTACCCTACTGGTCACAGCTTCCCACTAGAACCCTAGATAACCGATTGAATAGGGCCAGTCGTTGGTGAGGATCAGATCAATTTTCAAGTGTTGGTTTTGTAGAGATTTCGGTCTACGAGCTCGCCTTGTTACCAGATGTTCCTGGATACGAACACGGGAAGTGGGTGGGCACTGCTGACGAAGAATCCCACACTATGACGAAACAACTGTCCAGTACTCCCTGATTTTTGGCGATTTTCTAACTGAAGTCACTTCTTGACCAAGCGCATATATATATATATAAACTTGTTCCTTACTGCTTTATTTCTTGATTCCTAATGTACTTTAGATTTACAAGTCTGTTGAACTATTCTACAATGGATAAACATGTCGATTTGATGGTTGCTTATGAGGCCAATAGCTCGCATGGTGACTATAACAGTAGCAACTTTGATAATAATGATTATATTCAAGGTCCAACAATACGTTTCAGATTACATGATCAACTGTGAGATTTCCGCTTTGAATTTATTGATTAATAATACTCGTGTATCTTGCTTTGTGTGCTGCACATCGGTGCAAAATTCTATGTCGAAACCAGTCAGTCAATACATGTTTATACATTTACACTCGTCTTTTGTATTCGTTTGTTGTACATTATTAGCGTACTCACTCCACTGTGATAAGAAAAGTAGTGGCCAGTGTACCTGTTTCTCTGACCTCCTCGTGCTTCTTTGTGTGCGTTTGTTTGTGCGTAGTTGAACCTAAGTGTGTCTAATTTCGCTTTGCTAGCAGAATAACCACTGATGATTGTCGTAAGCAGTGCTTTATCTTTGGTTATATTGAAAGCTGGTGTTACTTGATCGATGCTTACATCCCACGCCACCCCTTGCGTTCCACGAATTACTTGGATTGAAAGGACTGTCACAAACCGGCTGTAGAAGCTTTTAAACACAATCATGTTACACGTACAAAAATGTGAGTACCATCTATCATATTCAGAGGTACATATGGTTGTTTCACTTATCATATCGCGAAGTGCTCATATGCTGTCTTAGTTGTTGCACAAAGTCAGTTTTACCATCGGGAACTTTAGTTGCTTGGGTTGAATCACTCTCCAGATGAATGCAATATGAAGTCTTCTTGAAGTGTGAGTTAAAGATATTGCCTTAAAAGCTTCGAAATTGAACCATTCAACGCGTTGAACACAACCACACTAATATCATCCACCTCAACTATAAATTTTTTTCATCATTTATCAATAGTGAAGAAATTCCGTAAGCTGACTCCGCTTGACAATACTCAATATCCCGTCTAATTGTCGAAAGTATTCCAGAGAGTACTAGAGGCATTTTGGTGCTCCTTTTGGCACTATCTTATACTGCTCTCAGTGTTGCTCTTTCAGATGACGATGGAATTTTTCCAGTGTACCATTGGATGTGGGGTGGTAAGCAGTAGTGTGCATGCTCTGGATTCCAAGTTGTTTTATCAGCTGTTGAAATAAATGACTTCTGAATTGAGCACCCATATCATCCGTAGTGATAACTTTGGGTAGGCTGAAATCTGAAATCCGATGGTTGACTATACTTTTTATCACAGTCTCAGTAGCCGCATTGGTGAGTGAAATGGTTACTGGTCATCCTTGCGAACCGGCCAATGCACGTTAGGATATATATATGAAACTGTTAGACGGCGGTAGTAGCATTACGATGTCGATATATGTGTGTTGGAATGTACCATCAAGATCATGAAACTTGCCAGTGGGTGAAAACGGCACTGCTAATCAAGCTGTAGCCCATAATTTAAGCTCCCGATTCATATTCAGCCAGGTAAACTAGTGACCTACCAATTTTACTGTTGGTGTAATACTGAGTTGAGAAGTGCCATGTCTCATCTCTGATGGCGCAAAGGAGCGCGGTTTTGCTGTGAATACGTTGCAGGTTATAGTTAGAGAGCTGTCCAGCTCGACTCCTTGAAAACTCACAGAAGTGTTCATCTTGCCTTTTGAGCTCTTCGTTTGTCACCTGCGAGTTCCGTATTTTTCGAAAGTCAATCTCATCTACACCTAAGACATTTACATAGATTCGGGATAAACCGCAAATTAACTATCCAGCTCAGAGAGCCACCAGCTCAAAACCATTTGCCACCTCCAGCTTAACGTACATTTGAGATATGAATTCCCTAGGAACACATTTGTTGGGATTGGCATACAAAGTTCATGTTGAGGGCTTGTGATCGGTGTATATTGAAAAGCTAGTCCCCTCAGTCACATGCCTGTAATGCTGCACTGCTAATTATGGAATGAGTGGTAGCTCCTTGTTAAAAGTACTGTATCGACATTGTATTTGGTTTTGAGTGTTTAGAATAGAACACTAGTTTCTCCCATTCACCATGTTCTATTTGCTGTAGAGCTGCCCCAACGGCCACATCTTAACGTATCTTTCATGATAGTCGAAGCAGTGTTTACACCCACCCATCCCCCGACGTACTCACAGTTTCTCTCAGTTCATTGAATACTTTGATGGCTGAAAATGTTCATGTGCAGCGTCTTTTCACTGCCTTTCAGTAAATCTGTCAATGGTTTTGCGAATTGGGGAATAAAACGGCGATAAAAGGTTATCAGTCTGAGAAATTTGCGTAGGTTTCTGAAAGGATTTGAAGTGTTTTAATATCATTCGCACTTACTACGTATCCTATAAAGTGAAGTGATTTTTTGCTGAATTCGTAATTTTGTCAGTTAACAGTGATGATATAGTCGCTAGGAAACTGCGCGCAGATGCTGTAGGTGTTTAGCTTATGATGCATTTGCAAACAGTAGACCGTTTGTTCCGCCTTAATTAGTCCGGAAGTTATACAAACAAATTCAAATAATGCGAAAGGAGTAGTGATTACAGTTTTAAGAACACCCTTCGATTCTAATTGAATATGACTAGGTCAGTCTTGGAGAAAATGTTTTAACTAAGCGAAAGCCCGATAAGTCGTTTATGCGCCAAGCAAGGTATTCATCTGCATCCGTCTGCTAATCCAGTGCTTTATAGTCTCCACATAACCGCATTTCATCAGATGTCTTTTTAAGGACTATGTGAAATGGCAATCATGCATTTTGCAACAGTCGTATGATTCCAAACTTCAGAAGCTTATCGAACTCCGCTCTTGCTATCTATGATTTCTGTGGATCTAGCTGACAAAGTTTAGATACTCTAGGAGGGTGTTTGTGACTGTATGGTATGTGACTTTGTGTTTGACAGAGGATGATGAGTAATAGTTTCGCGTTAGGTCAAGAAATTCTTACACTGTAGGAAGTACAGTTTGGCGTAGGTACTACCAGGCTGATCCTTTCAGCAGCTGTGAAGACGATCATGATTGCAACCTAGAAGTCTATGGCGACTGGGATCAACAAGTAACTTGTGGTGTTGAAGGAGGACTATTCCGATGACTGGGAAGGTTACATCCGTGGTGATGTAATAAATCCCTATTCAAATGGTGTGTTAAAACCAAAATCAAGTTTTAATACTTTGGTTCCATGTGTTTAGATGGACGATCATTTTGCTGCTTGAAGCATCAATACAGTGCGGGGGTGAAGGTGTTCAGGAGGTTTTGGGGGAACTGCACCTACTTCCTAAACTGTATTTATAAGAAACTGTGTTTCTGTTTTCTTTTCAGATACACGAAATACACTACTTTTTACCTTGTGCTCGCGAGTAACAGCAGTCATCATTGACCATTGGCTTGTTCGTTTTCCGAATAGATAAACTGTTGGAAAGTGCAAGGTAATGAATGGCGGCGGCCTGTGTTCCCAAGTGTAGAACAATGCTACCATAATGTTGGTTAATCAGTTTATGCCTAAGCTGTTATCGCCTGAAGCGAGAACTTGCCGTCTGTTCTGAGGCAGCCATGCATAGTTGACAGAATATTCTAAAATCAGTATTTCTGTCTTCCAGTAGGTTTTCAATCTTATCTTTTCAGTTGTGATGGGGTGATCAAAAGATTGCTGATCAGATAAAGAATTCACTCTGAGTACTTCTTGTTTCAGCACATTTTACGGAGAGTCACACACAGTCAGGTTTTATAGGTGTCACTCACCTATTCTGTAACTTCATCCGGTAGGATAGAGGTAGCATATCTGAATTCTACATTTTAAGAAGTGCTATGATGAACATGGAAATAATTTTCCAATCAAGTAAATCACTAGTGAAGGTCATTTGGTTTAAAAAGAGGTACGCACAGATTAATGGAACTCATAGACTCAGAATCTAAGAACACTTGACATTAAGAACTGCTAAGTATAAAAATTATAGAAGCAAAGTACAGGAAAAAGCTGTGTATCTACCTACCAAACACCAGCAATTGGTATTGTTTAGTCAATATACCCGAAGAGTACAGCTACAAGCCAAGGTAGATGAAGAGCAATAACAATATAATCCACCAAGTATATACGATTATTTGCTCGAGATAGTGTAGTTTCCACACGGACTCACCACTTAAGCGTTTATCTGTCTGACCCTAATATACATACTCATTATTCCCCGAAATACAACTTCACAATTCTTAACATCCTGTACACTGCTGAGCTACTTTTTTCAGACAGTATAAAAGCGGGAAGACCAGTAGAGTTTAGAACAAAGAAATTCGAAGCAAGTGGAAAGGCAGTTCAATCATATATTAATAATAATATTTAAAAGAAATATGTAATCCTTAAGTTCGTTGTTAAATTCATCAGTACGCAAAAAAGTATGATAGCTACTAAACATTCGGCATTGCGCTGATCACAATATCCTAATGATATTAACAGTAGAGTTTATTTTCTGTCTACATGTTCGTTCCGTTCATGGCTGAAAATACATTTGCTTAATGCAATAAACACTGTCCTGTTTTCAGAAAAAAAAGGAACACCAACTGATAAAATATGCTTTGATGTTTTCGACTTGTAGGCGTCATTTTACTTTATTTAAGCTAAATGTTAATTATTTTGTCATATTTGAGAGTAGTCAGTACTATTCAACTGACTTGAATTCTGTTACATTACAGTTGAAATTCTGTTAAGTTAATCATGATGAGACTGTTGGTAGACTTTTGAGGATTTAAAGTGACAGAATTCGAACTGACTGTTTCAGAACTACCAGTTTGCAGTTCTGCAGGATGAGGTACACCACCGAACTACTAACCAGATCATCATTCCAATGCAACCACCACGGGGAGCGTGTATCAGTCTGTCATGTGAATCAGTATTATTATTCATTCTTTCTATTCCGACCGGAACATATAGCTTCAGAGGTGCATCTCCACTGCACTCACTTCTCCACCATTACCTCTAGACTGTTCCATGGCTGATTATACAAGCCTTCATTTCCTCTTCAGATGATTGTTTCCATGTCACCGTCGGAAGCCCAACCCGTCGCTTCTCATTCGGGTTCCATTCACAGCCCTAGTGCATGATGTGACTTGAGTGTCTCTTTAATGTTCCTTGTTGCTATCTGCTCTTCAGTGTTAAGCGACAGTAGCTATTGATGACATTCTGTAACTGGCTATTGGAAGTGCTTTTGATGAGAAGCTGTTTAAGTCTCTGAACCATATTGAAGTAGTGATTCTGACATTGGTGTTGAAAATTCGGCTCTTGTTCGTTACGC